TATGTGGTGTACCAAAATCTGATGGCACTTCATTGACCTACCAACATAAGGACGTCGGTTCTAATACAAAAACCACGAAAAAAATGTCCGAAGTTAACTTATACGAACGTAGTGACACGTAACGAAATATAAAAAAACTAAAACATTTAATTTAAATTGTGACGTCATTGCAGTACTGCCTAATTTTGCTTGCAACAATTTAAGGGCCCAAAAACACCATATTCAGCTTCTACTGGAAATTTAACAAAATGCACCATATATAGCTTCGAAAATTACTTGAACACAAGAGTAATGGAGTAGCCTTTATCGTAAATATTAATTTATTTTTATCTATATTATTATGTCGAATTTTGTACAAATTCACTTAAAGAAATAATAAAGAGTTGGGCAGATACATACATACAAATATTACTACAAATGTGAAAATACGCGTGTACTACAAGAAATGTACCGATATTCCAACTAAACGTAAACTCTAATATCCGTATTTCCGAAAACCGATTTATAATAAAACCGTTACGCTTTCGTGTAATTTTAATGCTTTTCACAAAGACAAAATTAGTTATTATTTTGTAATCTTCCTAAAAAAATACATTTCACATTATGAAAATTCGAACTAACGTTATTTCGGGCAAATGTATTTTCTGACATCTAATAGGTAATCCAAGCCGTACTCGTAAAATGAGTAGAAAAAGATTTTGTTAGTTATTGCTAACGTTTAATTAAAAATCATTTTAAAAATAAGATTAAAATCAAAGCGACTCTAGTTTCTTTGTTCTAAATGTTTCAATCGCTTGTGTTTCGAACAATTGAAAATGACCAAGAAGTTTATACATAAACTTCTTGAAATTGACACAATGGGTCTCTTTCCATCTTTTGCGCATGCAATTTGTAGACAAAGGACAGTTAGCTATTTCATTATTTTGTGTGCTTTTGTAATTTATATTTACGATTCATTTATATATAAATTATATACTATAAAACTGTACAAAATAACATTTTTAAATGAGAAGTATATAACACAATATATTTGTTTTTATTTTAAGCGCGAACCCAATGTCCATTTCTTGGTAGGCCAATGTGGCTTAGACCACTTAGACAATTTTAAATTTATAGTGGGCAACATCAGTATAATAGGAAAAAATGCACTAGATACTTCATATATCTTAACTGGCCAGAATTGATTTATCCTCGTACACGTTTTAAGATCTGTATGAATTTGTGTGAGAAAGTTAAGTCATTTCTGACACATTTTAAAATTAAATAAAAATATATTTGTTTACGTTTGCAGTTTGAAGTAACTCGCATTTACGCTATTATCTGTTTTTTACTACTCTGTAGTCTACACACTGTAGTCTTGCCGATCAGTACCAGCAAAAATTACATTGGTACTATATATATTGATTTGGCATCGTTAAAATTTCAAAGATCAAGGTTATTTGCTCCTACTAATCGGCAAGATTAGAGACATGGTTCTAAATCGAGAAATGTGACTTTAATGTACCTAATTCATCGCTGATTTTGCTATATAAATTATATTACATTATTGCAACGATTTTTGCTTGAGATTGATAAATCGTTATTTTAAAGTGAATAAAGTTTAGCAGACAGCTATTTGACACAAGTAATATTTTGAATTGACATGTGACAAGTTAACATTGTCAGGTGAAAGTCGTTCGATTTTTATATTTAACGCCATGAGATTCTGGTACACCCTTAGAGGATGGAAAAAAATTAGTTTCCATAGTCTAAGGGTATACCTATACATACATTACGTAATTATAGTTAGGCGCAAGCCAGCACCACTAGCCTGACAAACAATGTGTTGATAGCCGGCGTTAATTTGATGATTCAGACTTGGAGAACTTTTTGATTAATATGATGACAAAAATATTTCTTGGGGATACATTTTAAATCACATTAAATACATACATACATACTTTAAAAAAATACCATACCCAATTATACTCAGCAAGCTACAGTGTGGTAATATTTAAAACAAAACTCCAAACACAGTGGTACCTTACACTGTTCGCACCTATAAATGGTGCGCGTGTAGGTCCCATTGGACCGACACAACACACACATTGTGTCCTTGGATCTCCCCTTCATTATGTAGTGATTGTTTGCCAACCTGGGCCGCTTTGCCATGTCAGATAAACTTTTTACTTCTTTTCCGGGAGGTTGGGGAGGCCGAAATGCGGTGATTAGCGCCTCAGCCAAATTATTTCGGAAAGCTGTTTGTCTCATCTTGGTTTTACTGCAATTGAATAAAATTAGGGAATTCAAAATAGACACATTCAAGAGTCTCCGAAACATTTTTTTATACCATACCTGATTTTTAATCCGATCAATAGGGTATGCTGACAAACATTGATCGTTTTTGTCGACACCCCCCATGAGCGAATTATAATCAAGCACGGCTCGTGGCTTGAGGCGCCAAACACCGTATTTTTCTAAGGCGGCGACCTCCACAGGATGGTAGGTGGAGATTACACAAACTAAATTAGCACCCCGCCACAAGAACACCGAGAGATCGTGCGTGTTTCTGTATACGATTTCACCCAGTCTCAAGTCGGATTCGGTAAAGGACTTTAAAGATTCAGGTACAAATTCACGTGAAACGCGAAGTGTACCCAGTACATCAGTCTTTTTGTCCTTGAGACACCGCGCTAGTAATGGTGAGTTATAATAATTATCCATTACTAACGTGTGTCCCTTTCCTAAGAGAGGGCGAGCAAGATCGTAAACAACCTTGGCTGTTGCTTCATCCGGTTGCACATTGTCCGTTGAGTCTGTCTGTCTGTTAGCAGCCTGTTTACCAGCATATACGAAACATTCCCACAGGTAACCGGTCGATGATTCACATAACTCAAAAGATTTTATGCCTTTACCGGCTTTATTTGAAATTTTTTGAGCAAACGAAAGCCGACCGGACACCAACAAACTTTCAGCTACGGCAATGGATTGCGATGGCATATACAGGCTGCTAAACTTTTGTCTCAAACTGTCCACAATTGGTTGTATTTTATATAGTGTTCGTTGTTGTGGCGTCATGTCACTTGGTTCATTGGTCAGGTCAGTAAAGTGCAAAAATCTTTTAATTAGAAAGAACCTATTAGAAGACATCAAGGACGCAAGACCTGGCATGGCCAAGGTCCCTGTTGTCTTAAAATAGTCTTGTTCTACAGGTCTCGTACTTAGACTATGAAATATTAAAATAGCAAAAAAAGTCAACATTTCGTTCGCGTCAGTTGGAGTCCAGGTCTTGTACCGTGAGTAAGTCTTAAAGCAGAATTTTTCTTTGTCTAAAATCTGTTGTGCGTACTGGTTAGTCTCGCGTACAATTAAGTCAATGATGGGCGGGTCCCAGATTGAAAGAAAAGCCTTAAAAGGCGTATCTATGAGGCTTATGGAACACGTAGGTCCCGGTGTCCCTGTAAATACTTCCCTAACCCCCCGAAATATTTCCGGCTCTTTGCGCCAATCGAAATTCAAAAACTCTGGTGACGCAATACCACGTAGTGCTTTATCATCGCCAGAATCGGCGCGTTGTAGGTCGGCTGCGACTGTCGGTATCATGTTGATAGGCAATAACGTGGGGCTCGGGCAAATATCTCGTCGACTTGCATTCACTTGAGATTCGATTTCCCCTTCGCTTTCGTCGAGCTCTGAGTCAGATTCTAGAAGAAAAATGCCGACATAAGTGCTTCATTAGTATTCCCAATACTCTATGAAATAATCATTTATACGAACTATGTCCTTTCATGGGGTTGCCGTCTGAAGGGAGGAAGATCACAAAAGGCGACAAAGGCCTTTGTTCTTCCTCGACAGGCTGTTCTTGCTTCGGTACTCTGGCCAGCCTTTTCGGAGGTCGTACGACTAAAAAATTGGTAAATAATTATAAACTACATATAAAAACTACATTAATTTTAATATACTATATAACCTTCGATCTTATTAAGTGTCTTACCGATATTTTTAGCCTTTCTCTTTGTTGGATGTAATGAAACCTAATTTAAGACTACCTACGTGTATGTAAAGTTAGGTAAAAAAAAAAGAAGTACTATGACTTCTATCAAATTCAAAATGTGGAATCAAAAATAAATGTTTCTAAATTCTGAATAAAATATTAATAAAATTACTTCTCGGACGTGAGCGTTTTCTTTCACTCTTCCTTACTACGGGAGATGGCGTAGACATTATCTATGGTATCTGAAATAAAATTAACATAGGTAAAATAAACTACTATTAGTTGGTTGGTAAAGGTACTACCCTATACTAACTACTTCGAGTCTATTTTAAGTAACCTTACCAGTTTCTTGATAGCCTCTTCACTAAATTGAGGTAGTGCCTCTAAGGCTTCTGCAACAAAATAAAGACGAATATCACAAGTCTGTAATTATAATGATCAGATTACATATAACTACTGGAAAATACGAGAGCTGTTGCCAAAATAGTTACGATGCAGAATGAATATAATCTCTTTTTCCCTGAAACTATCTTGATTTAACGGCTAATTTCTATACAAATCTACTTGGTGAAAATCAATGACCACATAAGTGTAGTTCTTTTTTTTTAATATTTTAAAAAATTATCTGTCACTCTTGTTTGCAACAATGGACGTCTCGCGGGAAGCTTTTCTTGGTATAATTTTCTATGATTATAAACTAGGGTTAACCTTCAAGGAATCTCACGACAATGTACAAGCTGCTTTTGGGGAGTGTGCTCCTGCGTTAGCAATAGTTACTTATTGGTTTCGATCATTTAAACGTGGTCGAAAGAACGTAAACGATGACGTCGGACCCGGCTGACCACCAACTACAATAACTCATGAAAACGCCATCAGGGTAAAGTGGCTATTACGGGAGAGTAAACACATTAGACATCGGGAGATTCAGGCTGAACAGAAGATTGGATCACAGGCAGTTTCCACCTTCCTGCATGAAAAGCTTAAAGTTAGGAAGGTTGCTTCACGATGGATTCCTCGTTCTTTCACCGAAGAGCAAAAATCCATCGTGTTGATTGGTGCAAATTTATGCTGAAAAATTCGAAGAAGGAACTTCGCAAAACGTATCCTACACCCTTAGAACTGACGAATTTTAGATCTATAGCTACGATTCTCTCACGAAGTAGCAATCCACGCAATTGATGTTTGAAGAGGACGAGTTGCTCACAAAAGTTGTTCGCGGTCGAAGCGATAATAAAAAATGATAGCGGCTTTTTTCGACACAGATGACCAGTAGCAATAATTCCGTTATAAGCTACAGTTACTAGTGAATGGTATAGCGAAATTTGTCTACCTCAAGCTTTCAGGGACTTAAATAGCGAGCACCTAAGGAGTGGCGCCCCTTTGCATTCTTTTTTACCAAAATAACGCGTCTCACACGAGTTGCTAGAGCCATCGACTATTTGCCATTTCGGGGTTAGAAATGTTACCACATTCTCCGTACAGCCCAGATTTAGCTCCACGTGATAATTTTTTATTTTGCACAATAAAAAAATGCTTCGTGGGCGAAAATTTAACACCATTGTGCGCGTGTACGTTGCATGTGTAACTTCATGCTAGGTATAAGAGGGAATGCGTGTGGAAGCATTTGAGTGTGTTACTTGCGTCCATGCTAGTTGTGTACACTATACTGACTGATAAACAATAGTTATTTCTTATGCAAGACTGCAAAGTTGTTGTTTGATTGTATTGAAAGCTGAGAAAGCGAAGGACTCTAAGAGAGGTTACACACGTGACTTTTAGCAGCGATGCGAAGTTGATAACTTGATAACCTGACTCTTCGCTTCGGTCCTCGCCAACTATCTTTAGGCTCTGCCCTAATTTTGACGATGTTCAAGAAAGATTTTCCGGTCAATTTTTTTCGGAAAGTATCTACCTCTCGGGGAAAAGATACAAAAGCAAAAAGTGTTTATCTAGATCTAAACTTGAAACTAGCATTGAAAACAATTTATAACATGTTAAAAACAATTGAAAAAAGCTTTTGTTCAGTCCAATTTATGTCAAAAGTGTAGCTTGTATAGAGTTGCGGGTAAAGTCTCTCATAGTGTATTTGATTTTAGGATGGCAAAATAGAAAAGTTAGCATGTTGCGAACCGGTCTTATATCCGTTCGGCACGAGACGCGGGGAAGGACGACACGGCTAGCGTGATATCACGGTAGCGGCGCAGGGGCACTCACCTCATCGGCAGCCACCGCCGACGGTCGACTCTTATACATTTATTTCTATAGACCAGGGGTTCCCAAACTTATTTTGTCTACTGCCCACTTCGAGAATAAATTACTTTTTAGAGCCCCCATTTTTTTCACCTACTTAAAAACCACTATAACTTCAAATTAAATTAATTATTGTGAGCTATATTAGCGAAGATTAAACATTCATTCTAAACGAGACTTTTACTATAACCCGCAAGAGTTAACTTGAGACCTGAGTGCAATAGGTAGTACACAACGACGCTCAGGTCATCTCTCATTATCGCATTTCTCTTTTTAGTAAGCAGCATTGTCACAGCTCTAAAACCACGTTCACACAAATATGACGATGGGAATTCTATCAAGAATCGTTGAATGATTGACCACAATCCAGGGTACAATTGCGGGATCGGTTTTTGTAGCAAAAATACTTGGTCCATTTTTGCACTTGACTTTTATTTCCTCGTTCGTTATCAATTCTAAAAGTTCTTCTTCCAGCTGAGGTGATATTGCTGTGTTGACATTTCAAAACGGAGCCAACACCGTTCGGTGAAGTCAATGTGGAGGTTTTCCAAATGTTGGCAGTAGGCAAACATGTCGTCGTTACTGCAGGATACTGATAAATTTGGAAAATTGTGAAACTCACTTCTGCCTATATTCTTTTTGTGTAGAAGCAGTTTGGCTGCGAAAGCAGCAACGACATTTATTGTTTTAATTAAATTTAGTTCATCGCCTTGCAGTTGGAGATTCATGTCGTTGAACAATTTACACAGGTCTATCATGTAAGCTATATCAATCTTTGATGTAAAGAGCTTGTTGCGCAATTCTGTATCTTTAGTTTCCAAGAACAGGTTGTAAAATGGAGTCAGACAATTGCCTCTTGATAGCCAACGAACTTCAGTATGAAACAAGAAACGGTTGAAATCTTCGTCATTAGTAACACAAAGCTCATGAAATAATCTATCATTCAAAGAGCTTTCACGGATTTTATTGACTGCTCTGATGACATATTGCAGTGATCGAAATAGTCGTTCACTTAAATTTCTAGCAACCAAATATTGTCTATGAATAACGCAATGTACTGCAAGGACATCTGGAATTTTATTTTTTACGTATGCTATCAAGTATTTGATATAATTATTTTTAAGGGAATCTCTCATCACAAAACTTTTCCAATGTATTGAATATGGTTTCGCCTTTTGTCTCAGTCTCTAAATTTCTAGCAAACAACACATACTTCACATACTTTCTCATCTTTAATAAACCTCACGTAAGACAGCAACAATGCTTCATTAGTTGGTAAAGTGGACTCATCAAGCAGAATTGAGAATTGACTAGTCCTCAAATGATTGCACAATGATTCATCAATGTTTTCAGCCATTTCACCAATTCGTCTTTACACAGAATTATTACTCAAAGGAATTTTTCGGATAATATCTGCAGCCGGTTTATGAAGCACAGTAGTTATTACTTCCTTTATTGCTGGCAAAATTAACTCTTCTCCGATGTTGTGTGGTTTGCCTTTTTGAGCAATTAACAAAGAGATATTGTACGAAGCTCGTAGTCCGTTATCATTTTGCTTAGCAGCCGCCGAAAAGAGTTTTGCTACACTCACTTGGTTGAATATTACGGTTCTTTTCTAGGTCTTGAAAATATGCTACATTCTTGTCTTTCTTATCTGGATGCATTTTATTCAAATGATCTTGCAGTCTTGTGAAGGCTTCATTGCTTCATTCGAAAATGTTTTTAGACATAGAAGGCACAAAGGCGACGATGGGTTTGTGGGATTTTCAATAAATCCGAATTTAATATATTCCGCACAGTATTGCAGTCCCTTCTTTTTAACCGACTTCAAAAAAGGAGGAGGTTCTCAATTCGACTGTATGTTCTTTTTTTTGTATGTATGTTACGCGATAACTCCGGTATTTGTGAACCGATTTTCATGATTCTTTTTTTTGTTGGAAAGGGGATATTTCCATAGTGGTTCCATTTCATTTTGAAGAAAATCATCTACCTCAAAAGGTGGCTGTTCACGCATGAAGATTCATTTTTATAAATAGCGCCTAACTTTAATTTAGGAGCAATTACTTTTAGCAATTATTTAGTTGATTTTGCTATTTCTCCAATTCAAGGCGTTTTTCTCTCGATATACTTTGAGCAGTGTCGTAGTGAGAACGTATTATTATTATCTCCAGTATCAAGTCCTGTATAGTGGCGAACTATGGGATATTTCAATGTTACTTAGCAAATCGACGTAATTCCACGTACTTTTGAGATCGGTTTTTTTTTTACTTCTGACATTGTTTTGTTTTGAGAAATATGTAAGTAAGTGTTGAACTTAAGTACTGCTTATCTATTACGCGCGAAACCGCAAATGAAATATTTATATAGGATTGCATAAGCAGCACGCACCCACAGGAATAATACAAACATGCATAAACTCGTTTATCTCATTCGACGCTCAATCGTACTCAACAAGTAAGAACAAGTATTCTATGAACCAGCCGATTGATACAGGAATGCACAAATCGGGTCATTTAACAAAAACTTGATAAAACATGATTGTTCGCGGTCTATTATCTACGACAATTATAATACTAATAAGTAACTGTGTCTGTTGCCTTTTTGTTTGTTTGTTTGTTTGTGTCTACTTTCATTTCGAAACGGAGAGACGAATTGACATGATTTTTATTTTATTTATTCAATAAAACAAGACAGATATATGAGCTACACGGAGAGAAGTATCGAACCGAGTTAGTTTGATTAATCTCTTAATTAATATTAGTTAATGTTCACAAGTTGTAGTCGAGAGGCGAGAGCTCAGTCGGTGTCTAAAGACCCATTTAGATGGAGAGAGTTTCTCGTCTCGAAGATACGATTATCGAAAGAATATAAAAAACTTTCCTCGTCTAAACATTTGCGATTATCGACCGTCCACGTGAGCGATGATCGCCTCGCCTTTAAAATATTGAACGTCTCCGTGTAAACAGAACTCGAAAGCAAAAATCGTATTTTGAGTTTCTGTGCCAGCCGTTTCTACCACGAGTGCAGTGCGCGAGGATGTTTTGATTATCACTGCTTTTCTAAAGGCCCATTTAAATGGAAAGAGTTTCTCGTCTCGAAGATGCGATTATCGAAAAAATATAAAAAAACTTTCCTCGTCTAA